GCTTCACAGCGCACGGTGCAGATCCCCTGACATCATTTGGAAGAGGAGGTCATTTGTGTGCCACCAGCGCCAGAGATCAAATTTTGGCTAATTCGAAAATGACACGGCAAATGACGGTACTCAATTTAAATCAAAGACAAAGATCCCCCATATAGCCTTCATAGACTGTTAGTGAGCACCTATGAAGGCCCACTCAGCACATGGGTGTGTGGGCCAGCACAACACCCGGCCGCCTTTGTCTCCCCAGTGGCGATGTTTAAGAAACCACACCAGGTACTCATTTGAGGCTGAGTCGACCTAGGTGAGGCCCAGGACCGGTTCAGATAATCGTCACTGCTGGTGGCCGTGAGCGGAAATCGAACTCGGGTCGTCGGGGTTCGTAGCGCAGCGCGCTAATCGCTGCACCACCACTCTCCATAACAAGTTACTAAATTGAGATCACACACACACACAGGAGAGAACATCGCTGCTGACTGGCAGATAAATGCCCCGGGTCACTGTTGTAGATGAGACTCTATACTGGTCTCGGGAGTTGCCACCTCGTTACACAAAATAAACTTGAAATGTACAACAGCAATGAGCCCCTTCAAGTTCCTGAAGGTGCCTTTGGTTGTGCCTGAATTATTTGACCAATCGGTGCGCGCATGTGGCTGTGTGTGGGTGGGTGAGCCGAGTTCGATTCCTGCTCACGGTCAACGCCAGTGAACCGGTGCTGGGTCTCCCCCAGATCGACTCAGCCTCAAATGAGAAACTGTTGCGGTGCGTAAAAAAAGAAAAGCATCGCCACTGGGGAGACAAAGGCGGTCGGGCGTGGTGCTGGCCACCCACCACCTCGTGTACCGTGTCGGCCTTCATAGGTGCACTTGCCCCAACAGTCTGTTAAGGCTATACGGGTGATTTTTGTTTTTGTTTATGTCGGCTATTTTTCTAATTATTATTATCAATTGCTGTCATTATCACGGACCATTACCGTAATGATCACGTTCACGTGGATGCTGAGTGTGAGGAATCGTCAACACGATCGGTTATTGCCCCGAAGAGATCTCGAGAATGAGAAGGGGAGACGGTCATCCACGAACACCCCACGTGACCGCCACGAACACCCACGTGACCGCCACGAACACCCACGTGACCGCCACGACACAGTGTGACCGCCACGACACCCACGTGACCGCCACGAACACCCCACGTGACCAACACGACACCCACGTGACCAACACGACACAGTGTAACCGCCACGACACCCACGTGACCGCCACGAACACCCCACGTGACCGCCACGAACACCCCACGTGACCAACACGACACCCACGTGACCGCCACGAACACCCCACGTGACCGCCGCGACACCCCAAGTGATGGCACCGCATTGAACGCCGCCCCACAATCTCGACGTGAATCGTGGGGAATTTCGTGGCGCTACGTGGGGGCCCATGGCTACAACACCCCCCCCCCCCCCCCAGCGTCTGTTGCTGCAGAGCAGCGCCAGTCTCGGTGGTGGTGGCGGGGCAATGAAGTTCGCTGTTGCGGGTGCCACGCAGCCTCGACCAGCGAGCACGACAAAATATCCGCGCCCGGCACACCACGTCCAGTATAGCTCTCTCGCCATGGCAGTGGCTATGAGTGATCTTCCACCTACCCGGGTCAACGCGTGACCCAGAAACGTACCGCACGACATTCCCCCATACAATGTGTGTGCTCGTGGCGTGGGTCTCGAGATATCATCGAACGAATGGATTATTGAATCCATCTGTGCGGACCTTTGGGTGTTGGATTCTTTGGGGTTTCTCTGGTTTTCGACGCTAAACCGAGCGGCGCAACACTCCGTGTGTTGGAGAACGGCCCCACGGAAGCGGTTGTCACAGAGCTACCTCCGAGATCCCTCGAGGAGACCTAGAAAATCCGGGCACTGGAGGGCAGCGCTCTCCCACCCGCTCGTCACATGACGGTCAAACCGAACAAATGTAAAAAAATTCTCAGATCTGGAATTTGGCCAAATTTTACGCAGAAGCAAATGCAAATGCGACGGCTTGTTTTCCTTGCACTCATTGACGACCGGGCTCAGAGCACCAATTCACGACAACTTGAGAACCCGCGTTAATGGCAACTCAATCTCCGCGCGCGAGTCTACGGGACTCCACACGAGTGAAATGGTGACCGAGCCAAGACCATCAGACCCCCCCCCCCACCCCGAACTGCGCTTGAGAACGCCGACTCATTAGTGGGCGGCTGAAATTCGGATTCGAACCCGGGGATTTCAGCGGTTGCAGCTCATCGCTCTGACCCCCCCTCCCCAACCCCCCCCCCCAAAGCCACCCTGCTCTTCTCTACCCGATCGTTCTCGACGTTTGGCACGAACGAGGCGGTTCAGACCGCTTCGTGTGATCGCTCGCAAAGGCTACCCCCCACCTCCCCCCACGTGACCACGATGAATGGACACACGCGTGCAAGTGGCAGCAAGGAGGAAATTAATGACCGGCCTCTGGAGCACAATCCGATATTCCGCTGCATCACCACCACCACCACCAACAACAACAATGACGAAACTTCCATGCAAATCTACGCCCCAAATCCCCCTCTTTTGTCTGCTCCGTAACAGGAGTTTAAATCCCCTCGGCAGCGAGGGTGACATCATTGCTGCTGGCTCTCAGCCCGCGCAGCGACATCAAAAAAAATGAACGTGAGTGTGACTTTCCTTTGTTTTGGTATAATCCGGCTAGCGTCCCGTATCCTCTGCCTCAGCAATTCCTGGCGGCCTCGTAGTGGTACGTGGGAGGGGGGGCTGAGGGGGGGGGGGTAGACCCCCCCCTTGTTTAGGCCCAACCCTTCGGAATCCTTGCAGTCAAAATGAGCACCATGGCATCTCGTCAACGTCTCTTTAACGTCTCTTCAACACCACCGACTGTGCCGTGCCACACACACACACAGGTTGTGTGCAATCCCCATCCCCCGATCCCGTTAAGCGATGTTCCCCACTGCCAGACTAAGCCGAGGTCACGTGTTTATTAGACCCAAGGGCAAGTTCCACGGGATGGGATGTCGACCCGTGTCCCCTGCAGCTCGCCGGGCAGTCTGCAGCTCGCTGCTTCTGACCCTCCGCTCGGCCGCTGACTTCTCCCGGGTGCAAACCCAAACCTTAATTCTAGATTTGAAGCTTTCGTGACTGCAAGGATTCCGACTCTTAGGTTTTTTCGGTAAAGTCACTTAGGTAAAAAATTAAAATTAATAAAAGTAAAATTAAATAAAATAAACATCACGACGTTTCGGAGGCAACACAAGCTTCCGTCTTCAGGTGGAACCGTCACAGCACGATAGCTGTATCTCACTTGATACAGCCTAAATCAGTGTATCTTGATACAGTAATCGTGCTGTGACGGTTCCACCTGAAGACGGAAGCTTGTGTTGCCTCCGAAACGTCGTGATTTTATTTTATTTTAATTTTACTTTGATTAATTTTAATTTTTTACCTACGTGACTTTACCGAAAAAACCTAAGAATACAAACCCATACCCTCAGGAGGGCGGGTCCCTCATGCGACCCGGCGATGGCCTTGTGCGTGTGCGTACGTTGAACTTCTTTCACACCGTACGTAGCCAACCGTGCTAATCGGAGGTGCGGGGGATGGACAACAAACTGAACACAAAAAAATCAGTTCTAAGGAAATGAGTTTGTCAAAATAGATGATTTTTAAAGTGCACAGCTCCAGTGGCTTCCTAACATCGGAAGGAAGAGCGTTCCAGACGGCAGCCGAGGCGCATCTGAAAGCGCCGTGCGAGGCGGTGACCGTCTTTGTTCGATGGCCAGTCAGAAGTCGCTGCGAGGATGAGTGGATTGACGTCGCTTTTACAAATCACTGACTCTGGTCACACGGTGGACACTTACCGCGATGGTTGGTAGTCACGTCGAGAATGATTTACGACAAACACACACACACAGACATTTAATTTTCAACGGAACATCATTTAACGTCTTCAAGTTCATTCCATTATCGTTCAAAAAAGTTCCTACTGTATTGTGACGTGCGCCACCCGTTTACGCTAAACTTTTACTATTAATATAAAAAATGTATTTCTTAAAAGAAACCACCTCAGTTTTTAAATTCGAGGATTGCGATGGTGGCGGTGGTGGTAGCAATGGTGGTAGCGGTGGCAGCAATGGCAGTATTTGGGAGTAGTGGTAGCGGTGGTGGTGGTGATGACAGCGGTGGTGGTGGCGGTGGCAGTAGTAGCGGTGGCGGTGGTGGTAGCGTTGGTGGTAGCGGTGGCAGCAATGGCAGTATTGGGGGTAGTGGTAGCGGTGGTGTTGGTGATGACAGCGGTGGTGGTGGCGGTGGCAGTAGTAGCGGTGGCGATGGTGGTAGCGTTGGTAGCAGTGTTAGCAGTGGCAGAGTTGGGGGTGGCAGTGGCAGTGGTGGTGGCAGTGGCGGTAGTGGTGGTGGTGGCGGTAGCGGTGTCATTGTTGGTGGTAGCATTGGTGGTGGCGATGGCGGTGGCGGTAGCAGTAGCGGTGGTGGTGGTGGTGGTAGCGTTGGTAGCAGTGTTAGCAGTGGCAGAGTTGGGGGTGGCAGTAGTGGTGGCGGTGGTGGTGGCAGTGGCGGTAGTGGTGGTGGAGGTGGTGGCTGTAGCGGTGTCATTGTTGGGGGTGGCGGTGGTGGTGGTAGCAGTGGTGGTGGCGATGGCGGTGGCGGTAGCAGTAGCGGTGGTGGTGGTGGTGGTAGTGGTGGTGGTGGTAGCGTTGGGAGCAGTGTTAGCAGTGGCAGTGTTGGGGGTGGCAGTGGCAGTGGTGGTGGTGGTGGCAGTGGCGGTAGTGGTGGTGGTGGCGGTAGCGGTGTCATTGTTGGTGGTAGCATTGGTGGTGGCGATGGCGGTGGCGGTAGCAGTAGCGGTGGTGGTGGTGGTGGTAGCGTTGGTAGCAGTGTTAGCAGTGGCAGTGTTGGGGGTGGTGGTGGCGGTGGTGGTGGCAGTGGTGCTAGTGGTGGTGGCGGTGGTGGCGCGCCTTGCCTTGTCGCCGTTGGCGTTGCTCCGCGTCGCCTTGCTGCGGGGCAGCCTCGACTTCACCCAGGCCTCGATGTGCGCGTTGTACTTCATGAAGATGACGTAGGAGGCGTACCCGCCCAACAGCAGCGTGCTCTCCCACCACGCGATGGTGTTGTCGAGGAAGAAGATGATGAGCATGAGCAGGTCGAGCACGTAGAAGGAGACGTCGCGGAAGATGGGCCACCAGGTGAGCGTGAGCAGCTCGCGCGAGAACACGGCGCACATGCCGATGACGAAGAGGATGTTGAAGACGGCCGAGCCCACGATTGTGCCGATGCCCACGTTGCTGTGCGAGATGAAGACGCCGATCATCGACGTGAAGAGCTCCGGCGCCGAGCCGCCCGCCGCCATGAAGGTGGCGCCGGCGACGTCGTCCGAGATGGCCAGCTTGTCGGTGATGACGCCGAGCGCGGGCACGAAGAACTCGTCGCACACGATGGCGAGCGCCATGAACATGTACATCATGCCGAGCATGTGGAGTGCCACGGCGCCGCGCCGCCGCTCCTCCAGCGAGAAGATGTCTTGCGGGTACTCGCCCTGCTGGTGTTCGCCGTCGCTGCCATTGCCGACGCCGCCTCCGTGCCCGCCCTCTCCCCACGACGAATTCGCGCGCGAGCCGTGCTCCCACTCCACGGACAGGACCCTCCGGCGCGGCGCAGACTCCGCGTCCCGCCGCTCGCCCTCCGGATCCGGAGACGAGCCGCCGGGGTGACCGTCGGTCGGCGGGGACGCCGGTCGGCGGGGGGCGCCAGCGACGTCCGAGCGGGAGGCGAGCGCTAGCGAGAGCGCGGAGGCGCCCGCGATAGCGACCGCCAGGAAGAGGAGCCGGCGCAGGCGGAACTGGAGACGCCGGCGGAGGCTGCGGTGGCAGCCGCGCGCCGCCATGGGGGCGACCGGCGCGGGGGGCGGCACTGCGAGCGCGGCACGCGAGGGCGCGCGCCGATCACCACCGCCGCTGGTAGCGGCGGGACCGGCACCAGCTCGGAACGATGAGCTCGTGGCGTGACCTCGCTTAAAGCGGGGGAGGGGGAAGGTGGGCATGGCACAGTGAATGTTAAACAAACTTTCAACACAACGCGAAACTTTGAACAGAATTCGCGACGGCACGGTTGGTCTGCTTTTGTCCGCCGTGCACTCCGCTCTGGCTGTCCGCACCCACCCCCCACTGCCCATCGCGTCATTGCGCTCGATTTTGTGTCAACGATCTTTTTGTCTCGGCTGTAAGAATTTAGCATGAACTTTTTTCGCACCGTACGAAGTCAACCGTGTTAGCAGGGGGGTATGAGGCCCCCATCCACCCCCCCACTCCCCCCACCTTCACCCCTTCCCTCCAGCCCCCCCCCCCAAAATTTATCAGGGGCTGGCGCACAAGTTAAAGGTCTCACAGTTGCATGGCAGATGGGGGAAACAAAATTCCGGTCGACTCGATGTCATTCCGCTGGTGGGAGGAAGTGTGGCTCTGCCACCTCGCGCGGATTTCGCTAAAAAGCTCCCAACTCCGTCAGCTGCTGCTGCTTCTGGGCGGGTTTCAATGATGCTCAAGTCTGTCACACAGATTTTGAGTGAGGGCAATGAAATTGGATTTATTTTTTTCCACGCGCAATGTAGCTCTCAGAGACACCGTCTTGTTCAGTTATATGTATATTTATGATGAATAAAGTCCGCCGACTCACTGATAAATTAACGAGTAACCGCGAGTGACTATATACACTTGGGTAACTTAGATAGCTCTATTCTGAGACAACATAACTCTAGCTATCCAAGACTACAAGGTGCCCACTGCAGGACGATGAAGACGACCCGCTCCAAGGTGACGACGGCGACGGCAGTTCCCCCACAACAGCAGCCCAGAGCCCCGGTTCATGCCGGCTTTTATCTCCCTCACGACCCGGCCACGCCCCTATTCCCGAACCCTCTCTCACCGCGCCTGGCCCTGTCTGTCTCTGCCCTTATAACAATTTACGCCTGTTAGGTCCCGTGCTTCCCCTCACGCGACCCTGGCAAAGCTTGTCGCATCAATCATTATTAGCGACCACTTAGTTCCCCACTTAGTTCCCGTTATGTTAATTAGTAACCATGGCCACGGGGAGCCGTACTGTCCCTACATCGCCCCATACTGTCCTTACACACGTAACAAAACACGACCGTTTAATATGTGCCAGTATTTATTTATTCCTTTTTCAATGCGCTTGTGTTCCATTAACCATTTATTGTAGGAGGGATTTAAATTTTAATCGGTTGTCTACAAATACGTTGATGGTGATAGTAATAATGATTTAAAAAAAATTAAAGCTCTTTATCAGCCCCATTGCTGGATGGAGGCCTCCCCATGCCGTGTCGGCCATGCCGGTTATTTGAACAAACTTCACCACTTGGCATGGGCGCGAACCAGGACCGCCTCAGATATCACTCGTCGCTGACATTAGCTGTGGCGAGGAATTGAACTCAGGTCCGCCGGGTTCACACAGCGAAGTGTGCAAAACCCCTGTGCCACTCTCGTTCTTCTCCGCACTTCTGATTAGCACGGTTGGCTACGTACAGTGCAAAAGTTCAACATACGTACAGTTTAATACGTAGGCTTTCGTGACCAATATTATCCATAGAGGCTTTTGGGTTCGATCGTGTAAATATAAATGTGTCGTTAAACCCTCCAATTAGTAAGGTTTGTCACGTTAACAAAAACATGTAATTCGTTTTGGCATGTAACGAATTGGCATGATGTGTCTACGTGACAACCTTTACTAATTGGCTGTGTCAGTTGGTGGCGGGTTTAACGAGAAATTTATATATTTACGCGATATATCCCCAAAACACCTCTATTATGGATGTATCAAGACAGCGATCAAAAAAATCGTGATTATTCCATTCAGTTACGCAGGAAAGCCTCACTGAGTCCCAAGACCATTTTCCAGGAGGGTCCTGCATTTAGGATGCTTGGCCCAATTCCATCAAAGGAGCAATTTGCACGTGGGAGGGAAACCGGAGAACCCGGAAGATACCCCTCGCACGCGAGAGTGAAGTAACGGCTTCTCCCTCCGTGGCCGGAGCGATCTTCGTGGTCGAGGCCTCGCGCCCGGCAAGCACTCGCTCGCTTGCTTCTCTCGCTAAAGGAGCAAATCAGTTAATGGACGGGGATGGGCGCATTCATTGACGAGCACAACTTGGCTCTCGGTAAATAAGTCGCGCCTGATTGAGATGTTCACTCCCGCTGCTCGGACGAGGAATGCGGTGATGATGTGCTGGCAGGCGGACGACGCCGTAAAATGCAGATTAACGCCCCGATAAAAAAAAAAATTCCTCCAAGAAAAAGAGAGAGAGAGACCGCTTCGGCAATGTTTCAAAGTGCGCAAAAGCCGGGAGGAAAACAAATAGCAACAACGTACGGAGGCCCCAGTGGTGATTGCTATGCACGGCGTTGATCTGCCAAGAAAACTGTGGTGCTCCGTCAACCGTTTCAGAACAGCAACAGGTCACTGCGCACACCTCCTACTCCACAAGCGGAGAATTAAAGACAACCCACGGTGCGACTGCGGCCACCCAAACCAGACGATGGTTCCCATCGCGAACAACCGCACTCTACGCCCGCTCTCCGGCGGGACTGAGCAGTATTAGTCGCGCCACTCCTGAAGCTATTGCATGGCTCACAAACTTCAACTGGCACGTGCGATTTGCACAGACTTGCCATACGCTCCAGAGAGAGAGAGTGGTGAGCAGAGAGAGGTGGCTCCAAAAAGTGTGGGGGGGGGTATATACATCGTGATCACGGCGGCACGCGCAATGCCGCCCAAGTGCAGCGCACCGCCAGGACGTCTGTGCAAAAGAGCTTCACAGCTCCTCGGGTTCTTCCAGTCTAAATAAAGATTCTGATGATTCTGAATGGCCATGAAGGGAAGGCACTTTTTGTTTAATGCGCATTCGCAGTGGACTATTGGGCTCCGTTACATCCTTCAGAGAGCGTGTGGTACATGCACGGGGAAGGCAAGCTGGTGTATAATGTCCATCAAATACAATGGAATGTCGTCCACTATATAATGCAGTTTAAAAACACGAGATTCCATCGTGTCGCATAGAATGCAAATTGAATGCGCGAAATTATATTGTATCGTACATTTGTAGTGTACTACTTCAGAGACACGAGTAGGAGGCACTCTCTCTTGTTTATTCCGGCATTCACAGCCATAGGGTAGAACTACATACCGGGTCAGGACAGCCAAAACGCTTCAAGACCCACAGCTCGAAGAGGCGATGAACACGACGCCGGCAGCACGACGAGTTCCACTCCGGATGGCAGCAGCCCCGACTGCGAGTCGGAGCTCGACTTTTATCCTCCCCAGCGTGGCCAGGCTCCGCCCTCGGCCACGCCCCCTTCTGGATCCCCCAGAAGGCCCCGGGCTTGGCCCACGTCTCCAACTGGTAGAACGGGCTGCTACCCCCAATCCCATTGGCTACCAATCTCCCAGCATCACGCGCTACAGTGACTCATTCAATGTCACTACACATTCATAGTGCGTATATGAAATGCACTAGAATACGCTGTGTCATATATAATGTATATTAAATGCACGAGGCGAAATTGCGTAGTATATAATGTATATTAAATGCACGCAAATACATTGAGTAGTATATAATGTATATCAAATGCACTAGAATACATTGCGTAGTATATAATATATATTAAATACACGAGGCTATATTGCGTGGTATATAATGTATATTAAATGCACGAGACTAAATTGCGTAGTATATAATGCATGTTAAATGCTCTATAACACCGTTGTGTAGAACAATAACGTTCCAGTGCATGAATATTTTTTTTTCAGACGACTTTAAACACCGAGTGAAAGTGGCAGCACACAATCGGAGCCATCGGTTTCACTCCACGGCGAAGATTGTTTGCCCCCCTCCCCACCAACAACAACAACAATAAGTGCATTTTTTAAAATAATAGAAATAGTCCAACAATCACACCTCATTAAACTCCGCCGGTCCAGTTGCAGCAAGCGTCCGATGAACGGTGTTGGAGGTTTTTTTTTTAACTAAACAATTTTTTTATGTTAATAGGTTTTTCCCCCTTTTTATCTGGCAACACAACAAGTGTTAACATGTTAAAGGAGGTCCCATGATAATTTTTTATTCTACCAAGCAAGGCCCCACTGAGCCACATAGATCCCTTTCAGAAGCGGCCTGGCCCTGACAAATGTTAGCTCCACGAAGTGGCTTATCATCACGTGGACATTCATTGCAGCCAAATGCTCTAAACGCGCGACGTTGATTCTGAATGTGGAGGGAAAAACCGGAGGATCCGGCAAAAAAACCCCACGCGACCACAGGGGAGAGAGACAAGCAAACTCCAAATATACATTCTAGATTTGAAGCTTTCGTGACTGCAATGATTCATATCCTTAACTGAATGGAATAATCACGTAGGTAAAAACATTAAAAAGTAAAATAAAATAAAAAATCACGACGTTTCGGAGGCAACACAAGCTTCCGTCTTCAGGTGGTACCGTCACAGCCACGACAGCTGTATCAAGTAAATGAGAGATTTCAGGAGTTACCACTGCCTTTATATAATGGTTGGAGAAGGTGGTGGGGCATGGGCCGCATCTTTATTATTAATATGGTAAGGTGAGGCTTGAGACTAAGAATAGACTGCATAACAAAGGCTGAGCCTTATGGAGAGGTGCGGTTTGTGACTCAACCTGTAACAGGGAGACCAACACTAAACAAATATACAACAGGCGTCAGGGTCGGGATCGAACCCATGTGCTCCTGCATAGCATGCAGTGAATGCGACGCACGGCCAGGGGCATCGAACGTTCAATTAATCGCGGAATCAGCAACTGTTGACCCCCCCCACCCCCTGTACGCCCTCGGTAAAAAGAAGCCCTTCCAGTGGCCCAATCATCGCGAGGTGTATCCGGACGCACTCGCTTTGTTTACAATACGGTGCAAGTGTTCCCGCGTGTGCGTCCGTGCGATTATTGATGACTTTACTCGATGCACTCAAA